AGAAGTGCACAGCCAGTCTGAGGGCATAAGGACTGCGGGAACACAGAGCAGGAAGGGATGGGCTTGCCAGGGCCCGGTGGGAGTTGCCATTTAAAAGAAGGTGTCCAGGCCGGGTACAGTGACTCATGCCTGTAATCCTGGCACTGTGGGAGGCTGAGGCAGGGGGATCACTTGAGGTCAGGAGTTTGAGACCAGCCTGGCCAACATGGCGAAACCCCATCTCTACTAAAAATACACAAATTAGCCAAGCATGGTGGTGTGCACCTGTAATCCATGCTACTTGGGAGGCTGAGGCAGGAGAATCACTGGAACCTGGGAGGAAGAGGCTGCAGTGAGCCGAGATTGCACCACTACACTCCAACCTGGGCAACAGAGCGAGACTCCATCTCAAAAAATAAATACATAAAAAATAAAATAGGGTGTCCAGGGAAGGATGTCTTTAAGTTAATAGATGTATTAATAGGTACTAGTGGTATACATTTTATGTACATTCAAATTTGTGTAAACACAAGAGGGGAATATAATAATTTGCCCAGGTCAGCGCCTCTGAAAGCCACCTGCCACCTGAGCCCTCCTGTGAACTGAGAACGCCCTGGGGTATGAGCCCTGTGGAGGAGAAGGTTCGGTGTGGGGTGCGTGGATGAGGCAAGCGGAACGGTGTGGGGCCTTCCACGGAGCCAGCTCCGAACCTGACAACACTCCAAGTTTGGGTTTGTAGCCACGAGCCACAGCCCCACCCACCCAGGTCAGAAGGTGCAAGACGGGCCAGGTTCTGGCTGGACGTGCTGAGCTGTTACTCTGAACTCTTAGAATCTTCCTGAGCCCCAAGAGGGCTGTTGTTATCCCCACTTGCCGGATGAGGAAACCAAGGCCCACAGAGACATGGCCTACCCAGGTCGCGCAGGGATGAGGCCAGGATGCCGGCCCAGGCTGTGTGGCCCCAGAGCCCACTCCCAGTCATCATGCCATCAGCAAAGCAGGGCCGCCGCCCAGGGCGGGGTGGGCATACCTTCAGCCGGTCCCGGACAGCTAGGACCTGGTACTCCAGCTCCCGGAGCTGGGGCTGGGTGGAGTCCGTGGGCCTCAGCAACTCCAGGACCTCCTGCAGAGGCCCCTCGAGGGCCACACCAGCACCCTCCTCTCTGTCCCCGGTTGCCCCTTCCTCGTGGCCTTTCTGGCTACTTGGGGCTGTGCCATTGTGGAACAGGGAGCCCTGTGGCAGGCTGGGGCTCTCCACTCCTAGGTTCCTCCAGCCAGGCTGCTCTGCAAATGGGCCTCCCGAGAGGTGGGCCATCTCTGGCAGGAGACCTGGGGACGGGGGGTCCTCCCGGGCCTCCTCTTCAATGGAGGCGTGGGGGCCGATGGCCAAGGGCAGGAAGCCCACATCTGAGGTGGACGCTGACGTGCTGGTCTCCGTGTCTCGGGGGTCCTCAGAGCTGAAGGAGTCCATCTCAGGCAGCTCCTGACTCTGGCTTCTTAGGCTGGGACCCCGGAGGTCGCTGTCAGACAGGTAGCTGAGGATGGAGGTGGCTCTTGGGCCACCGAGTAGCAAGGCCTGCTGTGTTGGCTGCTGTAGGACAGACTGGAGAGGGGACATAGGAGTGGCCTCACCAGCCACCCCAGGGACCACAGCAAGTCCCCCAGAGGGGCTTCCCCTGACAGACACCTGCTCCGCATGCCCGTGTTCTCAGGATGACTGAGGCCTGCCCAGGCGACCAGCATCCCAGAGGTGCAGACAAGACCCTGTCCCCTCTCTACACTTATCCCCCATCTCGCCTCCAACTCACTCCCGGCAGCCTCCTGACTGTTGCTCATGCCCTGTGGGCTGGGCCCCATGTGCCTGCCTCAGAACCTTTGCACTGACCGTGCTCTGGCCACTCTTCCCCCTGTGCCTTCACGGCTTGTGCCCTCGCCTCCTCAGGACCTTACTTAGGTGTCACCTCTTCTGAGAACCCTGCCCTGGACAGCCTTTTTTAAGCGGCAACTTCCACCTGGCCCCAGTGGGCCCCTTCCCTTCCTGCTGTCTCCCACAGTCCTTACGCCCCTGGGCTGACTGTGCACTTGTCGGATTCTGGTATCATCTATTTCCCCTGTAGAATTTCAGCTCCCTGAGGGCACAGTCTTTGCCTGGCCTGGAGCAGAGCCTAGCATATAATTTCATTTTTTTGTTTTGAAATAGTCTCGCTCTGTTGCCCAGACTGGAGTGCAGTGGCACTATCTCAGCTCACTGCAACCTCCGTCTCCCAGGCTCAAGCAATTCTCCTGCCTCAGTCTACCGAGTAGCTGGGATTACAGTGGCACCTCACCACGCCTGGCTAATTTTTGTATTTTTAGTAGAGACGGAGTTTCACCATGTTGGCCTGGCTGGTCTCAAACTCCTGACCTCAGGTGATCCACTTGCCTCAGCCTCTCAAAGTACTGGGATTACAGGCATGAGCCACTGCACCCAGCCTAGTTTTGAGTGAGTGAAGTGAATGAATGAATGAATGAATGAATGAATAAATGAATGAAGGGCCCGATATACACACCACAGAAACAGCAGCAACTGTCATTAAGCATTCTGAGGTTGCCGGCCCTTCTCTAGGGCCTTTGCATTACCCTCACCACACCCCATGGGGGTGGCACTGCCCTGACCTCGGAGAGGTCCTCAGGCCGCACGGGTGAATACAGTGCCACAGTGTGAATCTGGGTACATGGACACGAACGCTTATCTCTCATCAGCTGAACCAATGATAATGGTTGGTGTTCATTAACTCAGTTAACTCTCACAACAATCCCATAAGGGCAGTGCTGTTATTCTCACTTCTCTGATACAGAAATTGAAGTCCAGAGAGGGCTGGGCACGGTGGCTCATGCCTGTAATCCCAGCACTTTGGGAGGCTGAGGTGGGTGGATCACCTGATGTCAGGAGTTCGAGACCAGCCTGGCTAAGATGCTAAGATGGTAAAACCCCATCTCTACTAAAAATATACAAAAATTAGCTGGATGT